AGGGGTGTGGGCCAACTAAACGCAATAGGGTATGATAAAGTATTTCTAGTCTTACAAAAATCAGACAGACATGTGACAGGCGAAGAAATCAATGCGCATATCGGCACTCAAGTAAAAACAACCAAGATGTAAGCGAATAATTGACAAGGTCAAGAGACGTGTGATTGGTCACTCAGGCGAGAAGGTCAGTTAGTTTGTCCAAAAGCTAGAACATGCCATGTGGGCCCAACATAGTGACTCATAGACTACAAGACAGCTTTCGCTTCAGTGTTTCTTGATTCCCAATGGCTATCTAATCAAGGTCTTAGATTAACTTTAAAAAAATTAGTATATTCATTGTTCTCATTCTGGATATGTTAATAATTTTTTATTAAGTATTTTTGTAGTGAGTGTAATGATTAGTGGTTTTGGTTACACTACTGATTATGTGGCTTATAAATAATGAAGCTGAGAAGTACGATCCAGAAGTTACTGCTGAAGAAGGAGTGTCAAATCCAGACTGAGTGTGATATAATTGATTTCTGACACATATTTTCTTGCTTTTCCGTATGCTTATTTAATAGTCTGAGAATAATCTTCATCGATTTACTTTACTGAGTGAAATTCACCTGTTTTCTTTAAAATATAACACCAAATCAGCTCACATGGACATCGAGTAACCCACTAGCAGTCTGAATCAACAGCATTCCAAGTAGCCACAGCTTCTCTATAGCTAATAGCCGTTCTCTTCTTATGTTGTTGTCCAAATCAAAACCAAAAAACGCATCACAATTAAATCATTCATCTAACCAAACTGTTATGCTCGTCACTTAATATGCTTGAAACCATTCCGGGTTGAACTTAGTCGATAAACGAGAACGAGACAATGAACTAGTGACACGATAGGCTACTCTGATCGGTTGCCCCAAGGAACTAACGAAGAAGTCTTGATATAGCGTAGTAAGCGTATTCCACAAACACACAGCAAACACAGTGATCTCAAGCACATAAATCGTGTTTATTTATACATCATAGAAACGTCCTTGGGACAGTGACAAAAATAGCACCAATCACGGCCAAGGATTCTCCTGGGGGGAAATGTGATCTCAAGGTCAACCGATCAGCCTATGAATAAAATCCAAAATTAAGACATTTATCAAGCGAGTTCAAAGGATTTAAGGTCCCCAACAAAAACTCAACATTATACACTTATGCTATGAGTGGTTACCATTGATACAAAATCTACATGAGAACATGAATGATGTATGTCGATTCCGCAACAACCTGAAAATCATTCAATGATTTTCTTTGGTTGTATTGTTATTTTAGATACGCGTAGACATAGAAATGTTCGTATTGATTTGATTCTATGTGAAGTCTGTTGGAAGCTTCATAATGAACGAAATTTTATTTGCAATCTACTGATTGAAAAACTAGTAGTATCTGTAAGTATGGGGAGAAGTTTATCAAAAGTTACAATTTAATTGTTTTTAATATATCCCTCCAAAAGTGTTAATGTCTAACTTGAACCAATCCAAGTGATTGCTCAACCGCACCTTATTATCTTCAGTAACTGTCTACATTCGAAGAGTTTTGACTTCAAGAATTTTCTCATGTAGCTAATCATTAGTGAACGAATACTTCACTTGAATGTGTAATGTTTAATCAGAATTTTATTTCAAGCATCTGGAATTATCTGTAAGTATTAGAAAATTACACACTCTGATAGACAACACCTATCTACTAAATGAAATGAACGTTAGGATGACTGAAATTATATATATATATATATATATATATATATATATATATATTTGCATTATGGGGTTGTGAAGATTGTTAAGTTACACATTTTTGAAACCATGAGTCGATCGATTTTAGACCACTATTAGAAACCAGGTAGCACTGAATGACGGCCGTTCCGTCCTGTTATGGGACTCGTCAGTGGCAGTGTGCATCCAGAGGTCAGGCGTTCGCGCACAATACCGAAGGTCCTGGGTTCGAATCCTGCGGGGTGCAGGAGTCATGGATGCGCACTCCCACTGATGTGTCCTATATGAGGACGAAACGGCGGTCATTCAGTGCTACCAAGTTTCTTCTGATGATGGTCTAACATCGGTCGATTCATGGTTTCAAACATATATATAAATATACATGTACACAGTTGTGTGCCTCCACCGAAATTCGATTTAGTCGTTTATGTGATGTAACAGCTTATTAAAAATAAGTCACGTATCATTTTACAGAATCTTTCGACTTAATAAATCAAACATTTACACTACAATTAATTAACCGCAAACAAAATTAATTAGTGAATTCACTGAGTGAGCACGATTTTGTGGTGTGTGTGTGTGTGTGCGTGTGGGTGGATTTTTAGTGCATGTAGCCTGATAATTGTGTTTTATAGAAAAATAATGATAGAGACTTATTTGTTCCTTTAAAAATTCTATTTCCAATCTCTTCAATTCAGTTGTATGTAGTAATATTAGTTAGATATATACCTTTCAGAGAAATGTAAATTTTTTTTTTCTTACGTAGCGTCATTTTCAATCAAGAAAATAAGTACTGCGAACAGACGAACGAACGAACGAATGAACGGGATCATACTATTCAAACATGATACTTAGATAACATGAAAGAAATGTCAATGTTTGTAGGGGTTTTTTTGTTTGGTACGCATAGGTTTTCTTTTTTTTTGCAATTGTGAAATGATATTTACCTTTAGAAAAAACAAAACAATTAAATCGTCTATAGAGAGAGAGAGAGAGAGAGAAAAATGCCGTAGCTAGGAAATACATTTTCTCTGTGAAATGATATTAGAGACAATGATCCAAAAAAAGGTTTCTGATGATCTATGAAGAAATGCGAAATTACATATACATATATATGTATCTTCTTAAAGACAAAGAGAGAGTGAACAATTTTTTGTTTCTGGGTTCTTTGTTTCGTAACAAATTATTTTAGTTGCATCATCAGCTCAGGTTTTTTTAGTGTTCAGTAGAATAAAAAAAATTAAAGAAGAAGTGTCTTCTTACGTTATACATTTTGACATGAGTTTGCTTTTCATTGAAGCCATGCACTAATCATAGTTAAATCATTATTAGGAACTTGGAAGCACTGGATGGTTGTTTTTCCTAATATAGGAATGCTAAGCAGTGTGTATCCATGATTCCTACTGACGGGAATCCAACCTAGCACGAACACTTAACCTCTGGATCATTGGGCCGGCATCGAACGGTGTTACTGTCTAACTTTGATCAATTAAGGGATTTTGCGTGATCTCATTTATTTGAGTATTCTCAGTGAGGTTTAGAATTGCAGTTGGGATTAGTCTAATTAGGTATATATTGGATCCTGTATGGATCGCCTGGATATTGTCTATAGGTCATAAACATTATTAACAGAGATGAATACAAATGAATTGAACTCCACCTCCTTAAACAATTATCCATCTGAACTCATTAGTTGAGCAGTGGATAACTCGATGGCGTTTTGAAGCGTAGGCGTTATGGGGTTCGAGTCTCAAAATGACACATCAACTCTGAGATGTAGGTATATCCAGCTGCAACAAGTCTTGAATAGAGAGAAAAACGCGTCGTGAACTCCATTTCTAGCCACTATCCATCTCTGTTAATAATAATACTTCAGATTCGTTGGCCAGACACTATCAGCAACAACTTACTTTAGGAGAGAACAAACCATATTCCAGTGAAGGAGCAAATGAGGAAGAAGCGGCGGAAGTGAATAGGACACACACTACCAAAAGCACCTAACTGCATCACGAGACAAGCCCTCACATGGAACCCTCAAGGCAAAAGGAGAACAGGAAGGCCAAGGGACACATTACGCCGAGAAATAGAGAAAGATATGAGAGGAATGAACAAAAATTGGACAGAACTGGAGAGAGAAGCCCAGGACAGAGTTGGTTGGAGAAAACTGGTGGGCGGCATATGCTCCATTGGGTGTGGTAACAGGTGTAAGTAAAAAAGTAAGTAAGTAATCCACAGTAAGATTATCCAAGTCATTTCAAATTAAAGCGTATTACACAAGTCTATTGCGTTTTCGTTAATTTTTAAATTAAACCATGATACTACTACTACTACTACTACTACTACTACTACTACTACTACTACTACTACTACTACTACTACTACTACTACTACTACTACTACTACTACTACTACTACTACTACTACTACTACTACTACTACTACTACTACTACTACTACTACTACTACTACTACTACTAATAGTAATAATATTGTGTTTCATTTGTTCAAAAATCAATTGATCAATTTCTTTTCTTTTTTTCTTTTTCTAGAAAAAAACAAACAAACAAACAAACAAAACTACATTTTATTTATTTTCTTTTTACAAATAATAAATAAGTTGCTTCAATTCAATGTAACTCGCATGTTGTAACTCCCATTCCTATTGAATTCAATAGTCAATTGTCTATCAATATATATATATATATATATATATATATATATATGTATATATATGTGATGTGGTTGGGCGATGTTACATTATTATTATTATTACTTCAATATATTTATTCCAAGTTTATAAGGTCAAATTAATTTTGAGAAAACAAACACACACACACACACCTACACACCTTTAAGTTCCTTTTGAAAATAATGTACTTTTTTTCAAAAAAGGGGCAAAACAATAAAATGTTTCTAACTGATAAGTTAAAATAAATTTTTGAGTACAATTCTATGATATGTTGTGACTCAAGGTTAGTCTTTCATTAGTTATTAAATAGCTCGATTTAAAATCTCACCAGTCAATCATTGTTAGACCACCATAATTAGAAACCTGGAAATACTGAACAGAAGTTTCGTCCTGGTTCAGGACTCATCAGTGGCAGTGCGCATCCATGACTCCTGCACCCCGCAGGATTCAAACGCGAGAACTTCGGTTCTGTGAGCGAAAGCTCAACCTGAGGACCTCTGGGCCGGCAACCGACGGTGTTAATATTGGGCATGTTGGATACCCAGAACTCGCTTGATAAATATCCTTATTTCGGATTTTTTTCATGGACCGATCAGTCGATCTTGAGATTGTTTGTAGAATACACTTTCTACACTATATCAAGACTTCTTACTGGTACAATTGGGACAATAGGATCACAGTAACCTACCTGGACGCTGGTTCATTGTTTTGCTCTTGTTATTCGACTATGGTGAACCAATAATAATTTTAAGCATACCTAGAAACGAGCATAACAGTTAGTGTCTAACTCTGATTGATCTAGAGATTCTTCACGACCTCACCCATTTGTCTTTAGTAGGTAATGCCTACAACCGACAGGGTTGAACTCCATTTGTCACGTCGTCGCACTAGAACTACGAGATTTTCCTCAAGAAGCTAGTCACATTCTAATATACCTATCAGTAACTGGTCCAGCAAGAATATGAATATTGTTTTTGAGGACATCAATTCGATGAAACTCTAGTTATTTCCATATTAAGCGTGTATCAGCATCCGTATAAAGGCAATCGTATTCAATTGAGTAACAAAATATCAGTATTGGGAGTTGTGGAGATTTTTCACTTTTATTCAAATCGAAGTTTGATAATCTGGAAGCAGTAAATGGCTGATTTTTGTCCTTGTGTTCAACTGATCAGCAGTGCATATCTACGACACTCGCAGACGGTAAACAAAAATCAGAATATCCAATCTTGTGAGCAGCCACCTAACAACTACACCACTAAGTCGGTATACAACAGTATTAAAGTCCGACGTCAATCAATCAAACATATTGAGCAACTAATTATGGCTTAATGAATATCATATTTAAAAATCAACTTGACTACAATACTGTTACAATATATATAGTTCGAGGAAATTAGGAAGACTATTTGAACTTAGTTCAAGTTTGTCATTCCAAATGTGCATGGATCCCACTGTTGATATTCACAATGCAATTCAGACTCACTAATTTCCACTTCAAATGTCAAACATGTGAATAAACGTTGTACTGAGACAACCCAACCTGCAGCATCCACAACAGATAACAGAGACTGGTTCACATTGTAGTGGTCATCAATTTCAATAACTGAACATTACTGACGTTTACTAACAGAAAACTATCACATTTTCAAGATTACCGGCAATTTACGAAAACAAGAAATATAGATTTAGTGTAAATGTGAATGCTTGATAGAAAGAAAGCTGTACAACTATGCTGTACAGTCAAGCTTGAGTAATTTATTACTCATTGAGAAAACACCATTTCACTTTAAACTGTTTTATAACAAGAAAGTTATGCAATGACAAAGCATCATCAGTTTTCTGACGTAATCATTAACAAACATTTTCATACTGAATGTTTTATTGTAGTAAGTGTAAAAAGTAAAATGTTAGGGTTCATGTTGAGAAATTAGTGCTAAGAAACGGAATTAAGTATGAGGTTTTGAGTTGTTGATGTGATTACGTTGAGACAATACCTTGTTTACTCATCCTGGTGAAGACTAACTAAAATGTCAATTGTTTTCTGAATTCAAATCGTCAAAACGAATGAATTATTTTGAAAAACTTGTTATTTACAGATGTAATCTTTATGAGAAGTAGATATGTCATTTTGTAAATTTGGCTCAACATACTGCATCACTAATGGATGGATGGATGTGTTCAAACATTCAAGTTTCTAATGGTGGTCTAACAATGAATCGATTTATGATTTCAATGAAACTTAACAATCTCCATATCACTACAATAAAAATAAAATACAGACAATGTTTATTTAGATTTTAATTCTGATTAGGATATCAACATAGTTTAGTCTAATTTGTGAAATTGCAAACCTCTAACTGTTGTTATCTCACAATAACCATAATGTACTCTACTTCATATAAAGAATGAATAAGATGACAAGTATTCTATAGTGTGTGTGCTATTTTTAATATTCAAACGTGTACAGTTAACAACTCAATTGTGTGTAAACTTTTATTGAAACACGTAAATTTGATAAGCGTGACTGTGATAACACCTACTTATCTGTCATATAAACGTACTATACTTTATCAACCATAAACAAGACAAAAAATTTGAATCAAATGACCAAAAATTGAAATAATTGTAGAAAATGAAATAAGTAAACAGTGTGGATTACTTTCAATGTCGACTTCACTGTACAAGTATAAAATAACACAGAACTGGATATTGAATAACACTATAGTCTGAATTTTCCATACAGCACATGTAAACACAATTCTACTGTATAGAGTGGAAACTTGGAACACTACCAAAGCTATCATCCAAAAAGATGACAAATATTCATTAACAGTTGTCTACACACAATACTTCGGATTCATTGACCAGACACCATCAGCAACAAGCTACTGTGTGTGGGGACAAACCCGAATCCAGTGGAGGAGAAAATTAGGAAGAATTAGTGGAAGTTGATTGGATCCACATTGAAGAAATCAATTAGGAATTGATTTAATTTGAAACGATGTGACCTACTCCGTCCTGAGCCTCTCTTTCCAGTTCTGTCCAATCTCTGTTGATTCTTCTCATGTCTGTCTCCTTTTCTCAAAGCTAAGTTTTCTTCTATCTCCCCCTGCTACTTTGGCACACAGGATTTTCAAGTGAGGGTTATCTTGCGGCTCAGTCGGGTGATTTCCTATCTACTCCTCCACTGGAATCTCGTTTGTTCTCTCCCTTAGTAGATTGTTGTTGATGGTATCTGGTCAACGAATCCAAAGTATTGTGAATAGACAACTGTCAATATATACTTGTATCTTCTGGATGATATCTTTTGTAGTTCTCCAAGTTTCCGCTCCATATAGTAGAAATGTCTTGACATTTGTATTGAAAATTCTTACTTTGGCGTTTGTTGCTAGTAGTTTTCAGATGATTCCTTTATTCAAGTTCTCTAACCATCTGTTAATTATCGTCTCGCAGACCCCAACCAGGTAGTCGAGACCTACCAACATGGCTCAGTCCATTTGTTAGTAACTTTATGGATTTCTGACATGTTTTGGTTTGGCCACCCCTCTCTTCCTTCCAACCTATTCCTACACCGCAAAATATAGCTCGTCGAGGTAGTCAGTGGTTCGGCATGCGCAACACATGTCCCAACCACCTCAACTGATAAAGTTTTACTACTTCATCCTTAGCAAGTACTGAATTCCTAACGGTGGACAGCTTGGATGGAACTAGGCACTGGGGACTTCGCAGACCACTGTAGGTTTCAACACACACAAAGAAAAAAGAGAAGTCCTCCGATTTAACTTAATCAGCCGTACTTGATGAAGCAACTTTAGAAGGTGTGGAAACCTTTACATATCTGAAGAGCGTCATTGATAAACCAGGTGGAATTGATGTAAATGTGAAGGCTCGGGTCGGTAAAGAAATATCAGCATTTCTATATTTGATGAACATTTGGAATCCAACAATTATCAACCAAAACCAAAGTTACATTTTTCACACAAATATCAAGACAGTTCTGCTGTATGGGGTAGAAAATTGGAGAACTATCAAAGTCATCATCCAGAAGATACAAGTGTTTATTAACAGTTTTCTACGCAAAATACTTCGGATTCGTTGGCTAGATACTATCAGCAACAACCTAATGTGGTAAAGAACACACCAGACTCCAGAACAGGAAAAAGTTAAGGAAAAACGCTTCAGGTGAATTGGATACTCATCCAACTAATCTCCCATCTGCATTATAAGACGTGTCCTCACTGGGAATCCTCAAGGTCAAAGGAAGAGAGCAAGACTAAAGAACTCATTAAACCGATAATACTTTGTTCGTTAATAATAATAGTTATAACAATATCCTGTCAATAATACGTATACAAGGTAACCTTAAAATATTTTAAAAAAACGTGCTTCAATGTATGATAACCTGCTTTTCCGCAAGTTACTTCGTTTTGTTTGTTTTAACACATAAATTATGTATATTAATCGCATAATCTATTTTGGCGCGTATATAATAAAAGCGTTTACAACTTATCGCTTCATAAAATACAATAAAGTGCAACCGAAGATATCATGGTAGCTGATGGAATGCATTGAAAAGGAAACCTGTTGAAATATTTCATGCTAAGAATTTCATATTGTACGAAACATTTAACATTGAATAAAACTATTATGATTATTATTATTATCACTTTCATGCGATTTTTTTCAAACTGATTAGTATGCACACATTTGTGTAGGTATTCAATTTTGCTTGCAATCAAAATATAAAATACACTATCACATTTTTATCCCTAGATGTAATTGTTGGATCCAAACTGAAGTT